CATGTGGGAAGCAGGAGGAGGCTCGGGGTCCAGAGCCCTCTCTGGAGGAGGACAGGGACCTCCTGCAGCATCCAGAGACTCGCCGGCTCCTTGCAGCTTTCCAGGAAAGGGATCTGAGGGGACCATGCCACAGGCGGGGCTCTTTCCGTGACTGATGCCTTTGTCCCGGAACACCCAGGGAGCCTGCAGGGTTGTCCCGGGAAGGGGACCACCCGGACTTTGGTTCTCTCCAGGGTGGGGCTCAGAGATGCGGGAGAAGCTGTGCTCTGCAGAACTCTTTGGCAGACAGGGCAGGACGCAAACATAGGGACTGTCCCTGCTGTGAAGCTCGGCCCGACTTCAACCCAGTGATTTAGGCCCCATTGGGACCACTGCTTGAAACACATGCAGTGCCAGGGTGGGGCCTTCACTGTCTTGAGCTCCCTGAGAAAGGACCGAAACTATGTTCGTTTGGAAGGTGGGGCTGCAGCTGCTTCAGCCCCTGCAGGACGATTCGGAGGTGTGGGCTTATGAAGCTGCCCGCGTACCGCAGCCAAGGAGCAGCGAAGCCCTGGACTCCATCAGCCGAAGCCAGGCAGCACCTGGGGGCACCTCACTTCGGCTCCCAGAGCAGCGCTGTGCCCAGAGGGGTCATCCAGAACCTCTGGGCAGGCAACTTTCTGCAAAGGGATGGGCAGCTCCTTACAAATCAAAAGTGAGCTCAGCCTCTGCTCTCTGGGGCTTGGATTCCAGGGAGGGAGACACCAGCTCCTGTGAAAACCTGCAAGTAAATGTTCACAGCTACTGTATCTGCAGCCCCCCAAACTGGAAAAAGCCCAGACAACCTCTCATAGAGGAACGGTAGTGTGATCTGTGCTTAATCGGGCCACAAAGTGATGAATCCTTGATCCACACAGAGATGTGAGGCTCCCAAGGAACTATGTGGTCAAAGTCACCCGTCTGGGAAGGCTCGAGACGGTGGCTTCTTTAAATTCCATTCTTCAAATATCAAAACCCTTGAGATGGGGACTGATAGGGGTGCACTAGGGCTCAGGATGGGGCTGGGGTAACACAGCGGAGCACGAGGGAGCCCAAGTGGCTCTGTAATTAATTCAAAGTAAGAGTGGAAACCAAAATCCCAAACACAACACTCCAAGCCCTGTCAGGGGAGAATCAGCCAAGCAGCAGCGCTCGGGGAGGGTAGTGGGGTGACAGTGGACCCCACTGCCGAGGCCGATTCTAGATGGCAGCTGAGGGGTGTGGGTCCCGCAGTCAGTGAGGAGTTTCCTAGGAGGCCCGGGGATGGCGTCCCCAGGCCCCTATGACCCCGCCGGGCAGCGGAGGGGCCGCCTCTCCACCTCAGCAAAGCCTGCTCTCCATCCGATCCGCCCGCAGTGGGGCTCCGAGACAGGCCTGCTGGATGGATGAGAAGCTGTTTCTGATTTCTGGACAAACCTCCGTGTTTTCCATAGTCGCACGCTAATGTACTCTCCTGCCAACAGTGCGCAAGCGCCCCTTCCTCACACCCTCACCATCATCTCCATGACCGTCACCCTACAGGTGCAGTTCCCTGAGGATTACCGAGTGGCGCCCTTTTTCATACACCTGCTGGCAATGTGCGTCTTTTTTGAGAAATGCGTATCAGGTCCTTTACCTATTTTTGCAAATCAGATTATTATTTTTGCTATTGAATTATTTGAGTTCCTTAAATATTTTGGATATTAGCCAGGTGTGGTGGCACATGCCTGTAATCCCAGTACTCTGGGAGGCTGAGGCAGGAGGATTGCAAGTTCAAGCCCAGCCTGGGTTGTTTAATGACTTAGTGAGATTTTGTCTCAAAATAAAAAATAAAAAAAGTGAGGGGATGTAGCTCAGAGCAAAGCCTTGTGCTCAATCCTTAATATTGCAAAAACATTTTTTTTTGGATATTAATCCCTTATCAGGAACATAGTTTGCAAATATTTCCCCATTCCTTAAATTGTGTCTTTGCTGGTGTTTCTCTTGGCTCTTCAGAAACTTTTTACTTGAAGGCAATCCTGTTTTCTTGTTTTTGCTTTGTTGGGGAGCTGTGGAGGTCATCCAAAGGGTCACTTTCCAGCCCAAAGGTTAGAGGAGACTCCCTGGGTGCCCGGCTTGCTGTCTGCAGCACTCCCCAGTTGTGCTCTGGAAGGGCTCCAGGCTGGGTAGTTAGGGACGGCTCTAGGTGTCCGACAGGGTCCCCAACCTGGCCTCCAAGGGAGTGACGAGGGGCTCCTCCTTAGCTATGGTTCCCACTCCCCTGTCCTTTCCTCCAAAGCTCGCGAGACTCCCGTTTGCACCCTTGACGGCAGGAAGTGGAGCTCCTTTCCCAGGGCCATGCCGGTCCCGTGCAAGGCCGGGCCACATCCCCTGGGCGCTCTCTAGCGCCCTCAAGACAGAGTCTGCACTGTGCTGGGCGCACAGAGCCTGCGCTGATTTGCACTCGTTCAGGTTCTGTGACTGCGCGGTGCGGTTGCGCCCCGAGTCCTTGCTTCTGCCTCTCGCTGTGCTGTCATCCTCAGCCGGCAAGGGGGAGCCGTAAGGATCCCGAGCTCTGGCGCTGGATTGCTTCCTGCACCTCTGACCTTCAGCCCTGAGGCAGGACCTTTGCGCTCGTTGAGCACAGATGGCTTTTAGAGGATATCCTTCCACTGCCCTCTAAGACACTGCTCTGACTCTGGAAGGCGCTGAGGGAAGCTGGCGGCAGGGGCAAGGGATTTCCAAGTGGCCCCGGAGGGCAGGGGCGTCTTAGTGGGAGTAACTAACTTACCGAGAGGCATCACGGTGGAACATGCCAACACCTTTCCTTGGCCAGGCCACCCCCCGCTCACACAGGTGCACACACACACACACACACACACACACACACGGGCACACGCCTGTACTCACGCACACACCGTTCCTGTGGAAGGAGAGGTGCGGTCCACGCAGCTGAATGCAGCTGCCCCTCTGGGGAGGCCTTCCCAGCAGCGACTGGGCCAACGCGTCTGGGAGACAGGACTTTGGACACGTGGTGCCGTCAAGTATTCCCAGGGCAGGCGGGTGCACGCTGACAAATCCTGACTCGGTAGTGGGGGCAGAGTTGGGGCCCGGTGCCCACGTGTTCCCTAACAAGGCCGATGAGCGGTTTTGGCTGGGGTGTCTCAGACCGTGCACGGTGCCAGGTTTCCCCGAGCCACGTCTTTCTCCTGTGACAGTCTGGGGCGCATTCACCAGCCAGGGCCCTACTTTCAACCCCACCCAGCCGGACTGGAAGAATACTGCGGGCTGCAGGGATCAGCGCTGGGCAGAGCTGCAGCTCTCTAGGGTGGAAGCCGGAGAAGGGCGCCAAGGTCTTAGCCTGGGGGTCTGGCATTTTCAGGCCCATCCAAGACTGAGGCCTGGGAAGAAAATTTCTTCCCACGAGGCTGGAAGATCTGCCTGCAGTAACTCTGCCACCTGCTGGCGACGTCCTAGAATTGCAGCCCCACTGTGGCTGCAAGTGGGCTGAGTGCCTGGCTCCAAAGCCTCCCTAGTCATTCCTCACAGCTCCTGAAGGTGCCTGCTGCCTTCTGAGGTGCTCCTTTCCCACACAGCAGCACAGTGACCCCCTCACCTCCTGTAGGTCTCAGCTGTCAGAGTACGATTTAGCCCACAGTGAAATACAGTCACACCATACAGAGACTGAGTAGACAGAGAAGCAAAAGTCACAGCGGGTTGGTGGGTATTGGAGGTTGTTTATTCATTCATCAAACATTCACCAAGAGCCTTGCATTCACTGGTGCTGTCCTCTGCATGTGGAAGAGAACAAAGTTCATAGGCAGAAGTCCCACATTCTCGTGGAGGAACACAGTAAGCACACGGGCGCTCTGCGACTGGCAGGACAGCACAGCAGGGGAAAGGAGGCAGGCTGGCACAGGGAGGAGGCTGGGTTACTTGACAGTTCTTAGGAAAGAGCTCACTGCGAGCTGCCATCATCTCTAGGCGTCTCCCTTTGAAAAACAGCTTCTGGCTTGGTACCAGGCCTTAGTGGGAACTGAATGCTCAAACCTGAGACACCAGGCTACCATGTGACCTGAGTTGGCTATCATGGGATTGTCTTTCTTACTTTCTTTTCTTTTCTTTGCCTTTGCACAGACTACAAGCCTAATTGAGTGTTCATTTTGAGACTGGGTTTCACTAAATTAGTGGGGCTGGGTTAAAACTTGGGATCCTCCTGCCTCAGCCTCCCAGAGTGCTGGGATGAGACATGTACTACCACACCCAACTCAGCCCTTACTTTCTCTGACCCTCAGCAGTGTTTGATGAGCAAAGGACTCCTCCTTCTACCTTCTGAGACCCCACATTTCCCCGGCTTCCTACCAACTTCTGGCTGTCACTTCTGAGGCTCCTTGCCGTATTATTTTCTCTACCAGCCTCTCAGTTATTAGGTCTTCTCTACGGTTCTGTCCTCATTGTATTGTTTCCCTTTTACTCTTCCCCCTGAGTGTCTTCCTCTGCTGGGAAGGAAAGGACCCGAGACCCATGCTGTCCCTGACCTGGGGAAGCATGACTGGGAGAAATCATCTGAGAGTCACACAGGGCTCTTAGAAAACACACTGCTGGTGCTACCCTTCGGAGGAGCGTCCTTGGCTAACGATGTGCATTCAGCAAGAGGCACCTTACGGCAAACAAACCTGGGGTCTGTGGGTGGTCTGGAAGAATCGAGTGAATCGTGTACTTAACTGCAAACAAAATGGAGGCATTTCTAACAGAAATATCTCTCTCTGGCCAAGTGCTGTGGCAACAGCTACGGGATAGACACCACCCGTGTTACAGCCAGAGCTTGTCATCTTCTCTGATAAGGACCCAGCCAGCAGCACAGGCAGCCCTGGGCTTCACCATGCATGGCCTCTGCAACCCCCCCGATGTTATTAAGACAATTAGATATTGGCTGAGACCTGATCTCTAGTTTGACATTCCATCCCTTGTCATGGCTTAAATTACCCTCAGAGACTAAAGCTCAGGCTCCAAAGCTGCTGTTCAAATGGCTGCTAAACATCTCTACTGCATGGACCCCTGAGGCTGGGAACTCGCCGGCCCTCGCCAGCCCTCCCCTGCTCTCTGTGGCCGCAGGACTGGGAGCACTGCCCCAAGTGTTCAGCATTGTCTGGATACAGGGCAGAAGGGCTGGGCGGCCGCACACCCGCCGCTGCACGATCACGCATCTGTTCTGTCACCCACTGCCGGGCTCCAGTGGATTTTCCTGTCTGCAGTTTAGTGTCCTGGGAAAGGCACGCAGCAGTGAGGCCGGTCCCCTTGGTGTCAGTAAGAACTCATCCAGCTGCAGCCTGAGACCCAAACTAACACTGAGAATTTTTTCAGCTCACAATAAAAAATCTGCTTCTTTTCACATCTTGTAATGCCAGAGTATGGGGAAGTATTCAAAACAAGGCAGAAAGCCAGGCATGGTGGTGGCACATGCTGTCATCATTCAGGAGGCTGAGGCAGGAAGGTCACAAGATGGGGGCCAGCCTGGGATACATAGTGAGACCTTGTCTCAACAAGAAATAGTAAGACCCTAATGTGGGATGTCAGAGGGGCACAGGAGCCAACTGAGAGCTGGAACAACGAGAGCAACAAAATACACAAAATAGCTTTGGGAGCTGGGTATGGGGTGCACACCTGTAATCCCAACACTCTGGGAGGCAGGAAAATCACAAGATTGAGCCCTGCCCGGGCACTTAGGCTGGCTGTGGTGAGGGACTGCACTTGTTTTATTACCAGTTGAAAACAGTTCTGAGCAATAGACTAGGCAGAAGGCAGGGCAGGAGCCAGGCTGTGGGGCTTCCTGGCACAGGGCTCGCTGAGGCCCCAGAGTTTTGTCGTGGCTGTTTCAGAGGATCCCGCATTTCCTCAAGGCTATAGGGCCTTCCCTCCAGCTGCGTCACGTTCTTGATCCAGCTGTCGTACTCGGCCAAGAGGGTGTATATTCCCGGGACGTTCTTTTGCCCACAGCTCCTGCCCCAGCTGATAATGCCCAGCTGGTACCACTTACTGCTCGACTCACTGGTGGTACAAACGAGAGGCCCCCCACTGTCGCCCTGTGGGCAGAGAACATGGATCAGTAGCCAGTCCCCCTCACCTGGCACAGCTCAAGCCAAAGGGGCTCCATCGCCTTCCTGCCCCAGATGGCCGCAGGGGCAGCACGCTTGGCCAGGCTGGGTTGGGAGCTGTGGGGGCAGCAGAGTGGGTGCATCCAGGTCCTGCACCACAAACACTGATGGTGGCCTCCTCCTGTCCTTTCAGCGGGAGGACGATGAGCCCTACAGGGAGGGCTTGCTGAGGGTCCCACAGGCACCAGGCCAGAGCTGGAAGCCAGGGCTTTCTGAGGCCAAAGCCCTTGTGCACTGTTTTACCCTGGTGCCACTGCTCTCTCACCTACACAGGTACTGCTCTGCCGGGGTCTTTCTCCAAGGGAGGTGCCCGTCCCAGCTGTGACCACGCATGGGTGGTGAGGGGCTTCAGGAGAGGAGGCAGAGGGGCACATTTTCTCATCTCTGAGTCCTTATCCCGGTTCCCATTTTGAATTCATAAGTTCAGAGTCAGAAGATTTTGAATGCTGAGGGGAAACTAATGGCCAGGCCTAGGGGACACAAGACCTCCCAGTCCAGTGGGGGAGAGGCACTGGGACAGACAGGATGGCTATGTGGGATGCAACAGGAGCGTGGGGCTGGGGCACAGAGCAGGGTGTGTGGGGGACTCAGGAAGGGTCTCTGGGCGGAGTGCGGGGGCTCAAGGTGAGCGGGACCCTGACAAGGCGAGTGCGGGGGCTGCTTAGGGAGAGCTGGGCAGGGGGTGGTAGGACAATGGGTTAGAGGAGAGGGAACCATGAGAGTCAGAACCAAGCATGAGAAGGTTGGGAAAGAGAGACCTGGGCAGGGTGGATGCCACTGGTGACAGTCACAGATGGACACTGGACATGGACAGCAAGGACAGAGTCCAGGATCATAGGGGTGAAGTGCAGGATGGAGATGAGCAAACGTGTCTCATTCCCCAGCAAGCAGGCAGGTGTGGGTCCACAGAGAGGTCACCTCTGCCCGAGGACACCCAGCCAGCTGAGCCTTCTGGCACAAAATGCTGCCTCTCACTTGTCTGTCTCAGGTGGGTGTGTGCTTTGAAGTTTTGGGGCAAGAACACACTCAACAGACTTTTCACTCAAATCACCCATTCCTTGAATGTGATTTCTACCATTTTTTCTTCTTATGAAGGCATAAATATTATAAAAATCATTTTAAATGTTACCTATTTATTCCCATAAACAACAGAGGAAGAACTATTTACAGCAGGGATCCTCAACTGTCTGTGGCCTGTTAATTGTAAGAAAAGCTTCATCTGTATTTCTAGCCTCTTCCCATCCCTTGAATTACTGCCTGAGCTCTACTTCCTGTCAGATCAGGGTGCTTTTAGCTTTTCATAGGTGTGCAAACCCTACTATGAACCATGCATGTGAAGAATATAGGCTATGTGCTCCTGATGAGAATTCAATGCCTGATAATCTGAAGTGGAGCTGAGGCAGTGGTGCTAGCACTGGAGAGTGGCTGTGAATACAGACAAACATTGGCAGGGAGTTCTGACTGCACAGAGACCATAATAAATCAAAAGCTGCAGACTCATAGCAAAACCCCAACAGTGAGAGGCAAGTAACAATCTATATCTTATGTCAGACTTCACAGCGGGAAGTGAGTTGATGTACTTCAATTGTACAGATATATCTGTTCCAGTTGTTAAGCCATAATTTGACATTTATTTTAGTCCATGTGTGGGATGCCAATTATTTTATTTGCTGTACCTTTTTCTTGCACTAATTATCCCAGTAAGTTTTGATAAGCCCACTGCTAACCCTAGCCAAAATGAGTAAAAATCAAATGTTACTGGAGAATTTTTTTGGAAAGGGGGAAAAGACCAATGATAAGACAGCAGAAGACTCTGAGACTGCCAACAAAAGCAAAGCTGCATTTAAAAAAATTCCAAGAGTCCTACTTAGTGACAGGTTCATCACAAGTGATTCACATTCTCCAAGCCCATTTTATAAAATACAATGATACCCATTTGGCTTGCAAACAGAAGCATTTGGCAAAATTTTGGTTTTGTTTGCCAATTCTGCACTGGGTGATGAACATAACCACAGGCGTCTTCCCCACATGAATAGGAACGTGACCATCTTTTCCAGAATTATGGAATGAATTACACGTGTGAATGAGGCACTGGTATATGTGGCAATCAGCTATGCAACAAAGCCATGAAACTTTCAAAACTTTCCATTCACCTTGCTTTAAAAGACAAGCTTTGAGAGCTTTCCAAAAGAAAGAAGCACAAACACAAAGAACAGAAGCAATCATCAAAGGCCACTACTTCTTCACAGCTCTGAGAACATCACTCTCGATGGCTCATGCAGTATTAAAGCTAAGAAGACCTTCACTATTGCTGAAGAACTGATCCTGTCTCCTGCTGAGGACATTTGTCATAAGCTTTTAGGAACGACCACAGTTCAAAAGGTGGCATATGTTCCTTCCAGCTAGCACCATAACCAGACTGATGAAACAGAAGAGGATACGGAGCAGTGTTAGAGAGGATTAATAAGTCACAGTAATGCAATGCTGGTCCCCGTGGAGCAGCAGCCATCACAGAGAGCTGTCCCCTGCCCCCAGTTTCGGCACACCAATGCCCAGTGCCCCACCCAAGGCTCAGAGCAGGAGAAATTCTCAATGAAAATTTCTCAAGCAAGGGAGTGCCACCAGCCAGCTCTTTGTAGCTGTCAGTAAAGCAGCCACTGAGGAAGGTTCGCCCAGGAGAAATCTTCTGCCTCACTGCTTCAACCCCTGCCCCAGAAGCCCCGTCCCAAGCCCCTTGTGGCCCAGCCGGGGAAGCTACCTGTCTCTTTGTACTGTGAGGTAATAGATAATGCATGATAAGCATGCTCCCCTTCGTGGGCAGCCTGCCCTCCCTGCACAGATCACTCCACACTTGGATGTGTAGCTTTACTGCCCAGCCAATGAGTAGGCCCTAGCTTTCACCAGTGGCCTCATGCAGGAGAGAGCATCTTTGAGCTTAAAGACCAATTTTACCATTCATCCTGGGAACCAGAGGGAGTTAAGCCCTGAATTTCTATTTTTACTAGTGACTGATCAAAAGGTTGTTGTGTTCATTTCATTAAACAGCCTATGAGATGAAACTTCGGTTCACTGAAAACTACCTGCACCACTGGGTATATTACAGTTGTCCACTCCCTGCCCAGGAGACTGGCTCCCGTGGGGAGGAGTAGGTCGGTCCATGGCGCCCCCAGGGCCCAGTATGTGCAATTAGGGCTGCTTAATGAATGAACTAAAATGACACCTTGGATGGCCCCCCAGTCCTCGTTGGCTTTTTGTTCTGTGAGGATTCCCAGAGGTGGGAAAAGTGACAGCCCCAATTTATGGAGTGTTCCAAAGAAGAGCAGAACACTTACGCAAGGTTGCTGCCTGCTGGCCCCGGGTGTGTCCAGAGACTGCTGTCCCGCCCCTGCCGCCTAGCTGCAGGCCCTGATTCCCATGCATTCCCGGAATCTTAGTCATCTCTTCCCAGCAGAGAGGCAGCTGAGTTACCTGGCAGGCGTCATAGTTCTCGTTCTGGTACCCGGCACACAGCATGTTCTTGGTGAGTTTCGAGAACAGCTTGGAACATTCCTTCCAGTCCATGATGACCATGGGCACCTTCATCAGATCGCTTTTCATGGAGTTTTTTTCAGCTGGACCACAGAGAAAGAGACTTTAGAAAAGTCACTGGGAAGCAGGTCTCCGTGGAGATGACACAAGTGGCTGTGCCCTAGTGAGCACCCTGCACACCTCAGCCCCCATCCTGCCCACCACCCACTCCTCCTGGTCTACCCTCTGCGGCCTTCAGGGGCACCACACAGCCCACACTTCCCTGGACGCTCCCACCTGCTGGGCCCTCCTCTCACGTACAGCCTCACTCCCCCAGGAAGGCCTGACTCCCACCAGCTAAGGACCATGTTCCAGCACCACCCTCTGCCTCGTCGACTTGTTTGCCCCGCTACTGCTTATTTTGGGCGATGGCCTCCCTGAAGGGTACCGCAGTAAACTTGAACAGGGTAGGTTGGATGCAACTCTTCGGAGGGGATCCGAGGAGATTTGTGGCCTGGGCCTGCAGGTGCCAGCAATTTTCCTGGACTTTTCCTCTTACTGGTCTCTGAGCACACAGAAATCTCATAGCTCTTCCCCTTACTGAGGGTTTTTAATCTCGTATGGTCCCATCTGCTTCTAGCTCTGAGTATTCCTTGGAGCCAGAACCCCAGCTCTGCCCACCTCCCTCTGCTGAGCTCTGAAAATGCACCCCCATGAACCAGACCCTGGCTTGCTCCACATCACCGCAGACCCAGGTTTGTGCTGTCCCCATGACTCTGCTGCCTGCCTGTCTGCTTTTGGTTTTGCCAGTTTTCTTTGGGGAAGGCCAGCAGGGCTTCTGTCACACCTCTCTGCCCTGCACACTTTCTCCTACTGTGGCCAAGGAGCGACCTCACAGGTACCAGTGAACTCCTGGCTGAGTGCTGGGCAGGGCTGCAGGAGGTTCCGAGGTTATGCCCAGCCCACTGTGGGCATCAGGGATGCTTACAGGAAGCAGTAGGCACATCCCCGGGTGCCAGCTGAGAGCAGAGGGCCTCCCGCTAGATGGACCGCAAATTTCATTAAACAAAGGAGCCTGTGCTGAAAGGATCACCTCAGCCTTGGGGACACGCCCCCCAATGGAGCCTCCCTGGTGGACAGGGGTTTTCCCCGGGGCAAGTCCTGCTCGCCTCTTCCCTCCCTCTGCCTGGCTCTTCCTCAGTGGCTCTCCCCAGATGCAGGGGTGTCACATACTGGAACTGGTCTGTCCCCATCCTGCCACCCAGCACTCTTGCCAGCTGACGGGGATGGGCTGTGGGGGCAGGCAGACAGGCACTTTCAGGCCATTGAACTTGATGGGCGAGGCGAGCAGCAGCAAGCCGATGTCGTTGTCCATGGTGGCTCTCACGTAGCCCGTGTGCAGGGTGATGCTGGTGACCTGCTTAATTTCCAGGTGTGGGTTGGTTAAGTCGTTGGTCCCCACTACAACATGCAGCTCTTTGGGGCTGGTGGCAGCAGAGAGAGGAAGGGAGGACAGGAAGGAAGTGACAAAAGTGCACGGAATTCTCCAAACCCCCAAACCTACATCCTTGCATTTCTAGGGACCTTTAGGATGGAGCTATGGGGCCTGTTGCTCAGAAGGTGGGAGGATTGAAAAAGGAGAGGGCGATGCAGAGCAGAGCATCCCAGGCTCTCAGGGGAATGAGACACCAACATAGGACGGCTGGGCACAGATCCGAGTAGCCGTCAGGCGACGGTGCCACATGGGTGAATGGTCACCCACACCACGCAGTCCTCAGTCCACCTACAAGCCAGCGTCCAGGAGCAGAGCCGAGTCTGGTCCTGCGCTGGCTAAGCAGGAAAGCCTTCAGTGATGAGCCAGTGTGGGGCCTGCTCCGGGCCGGGTGGCCGTGGGCTTCCCGTGGCCAGTCCCTAGGTATCCCAGGAAGAAGGGGCCACAGGAAGGCTCTTGTTTCACCAGGGTAAAAGTCTCTAGAGCTTTGTTTTGGGTTCTGTTTTTGTTTTCTAGTGCTGGGGATTGAACCCAGGGCCCCATGTGTGCTGGGCAAGTGCTCTTCTCCCGAGACACAGCCCCAGTTCTGTGTGCAGGGCTGCAGTCCAGCCTTCTGGGTGTTTTCCAGCTGCCTCAAGCAGGCAAAGCTCAGTGCACGCACGCCAAAGCCAGGGTTTCAGCTCTGCCATGTACTATGCGCGAGCCTTGGGTGGAATGCCTAACCGTATCACACTGCAGTGCCTTACCCCCAAGGTAATCACTGCTTCTACCTGCCCAGAGGGTCACCGTGTGGCCAAATGAGCAGCACAGGCAATGTCTCCGCAGGGTACTCACGATATTTCCTCGGAATTTAAGCAGTGAGCGGCTGTGAGAATCCACCACGAGCTGAGGATGGCGCCACCACACATGTGCTGATTTGCGACTTGAATACTCACCTGCCACGGGAACTCACCCTCCCCGGCCTCCACCCCCCCGATGATCCGGGAGTACTGAGTCCTGCGGTCGAACATGGGTCTTTCGCCACATCCTGCAGGGAGGAAGAAAGCAGGAGGCAGAGCTGCGTCAGCACCCGTGTGGCCAGCAGGGCAGGGAGGGGGGGCTTGGAAGCAGGTGTCCCTGTTCCTGTCCCTGTTCCTGTCTCCATCCCTGTCCTGGCTGGCCAGGCTCCTCTTGCGGCCCCAGGAAGCCAACAGAGCTCAGGACGCGCGTGGGGAGCAGCAGAAGGTGCTGTCCCCCACCAACCTGATGTGGCCAGCAGAACAGGGACCCTCACGGAAGTCCCAGTTCCCTGGGACCTGCGAATATTTTCCCTTATAAGGCAGCAAAGACTTGGGGCAATGGAATGAAGATTGCCCATTAGGGAGTTGTCCTGCTCACTCCAAAGGGACCCCATTTAATCCCAAGGACACTTAAGAGAACCGGAGAGGTGGCTGGGCTGTGGCTCAGCGGTAGAGCACTTGCCTGGCCTAGGTCAGGCCCTGGGTTCCACCCCCAGCGCTGAAGAATTTTTAAAATGGTAGAAGAGGGAGGAGAATCAGTCAGCCCCAGATGTGAGTAGGGAAGAGAGGAAGGCACAGAGAGACACTGGCCAGGCAGAGCAGTTTGCAGCCGCTGTGGTGGTGGTGAGGAAGTGGTGGGGCGTGATGTCCCTCTGTGAGGCCGGGTCTGGTCCCCTGTACCTGCCCAAGTACCAACCGGCTTGCTCCAGAACAAGGGCCACGTTTGACCCTAACATCCCAAGACGCCTTGTGCCCCTTGCTGGATGCTCCTTTGCCAAAGCAGCTTTGAGACTTTTGGAGAATGCGTTGGAGTCATGTTTGGTTTAAAAAGATGGAGAACTTAGCAGTGTGTGCCAAGAACCTTTGGCCGTCAGTAATGGGACGGCTGGACTCACACTTCCTGTTTCAGTCCCCAGGCACACACAGTGTGGCAGGCACGTTTACAAGCACCGTACAGAGGCCGGTTCTCTTGAACGTTCACAGCCACTCCACAAGGTAGCTACCATTATTTCATTCCCATTTTACAGCTGGCACAACTGAGCCACAGGGAGGTTCAGTGATTTGCTCACTGTCACACAGCTAGTTGATGACCCAGCCAAGATTTGGAGGCAGGCATTCAAGCGTCAGGGTTTGCGCTGTTCCCACGGCCGGTGCTGCTCTCTGCATGGTGTCTTCTCTCCACGGTTGCCGGGTTCTCTCCCTCACTTCTTCCTAGAGGCCTCGCTGGCCTGTACCCGGCACAGCACCTCTCCTGCTGTGTTGTGCTTCTCACAGCATTGGTAGGGTGCCCACTCACTGCTCTGGGCCTGACTCTAGCACAGGCATGAAGCGTCACGTGGAGACGGGTGTGCTGGTGATGCTGGGGCCCAGCCACGCCTGCCCAGAGGCACTCAACAGCCACAGGGCTCCTCTGAGTGCTGTACTCTGCCCTGGAAAACACATCCTAAGGGCGAATCTGTGCTGGGAGATGCCCACTGTCGAGACGGTTGGAACAGCAACAAAGGTGAAGGCAGCCTAAGTGTTAGGGTGAGCAGTGCCCTGACCACCTGGGCCATCAGCTACAACCCAGCCATCGAAATTATGCCCCTGGGGAATTTTTAAGGATGTAGGAAAATGTCTGTGGTTTAAACAGTCAGGATAACAGTTGCATTTAGATGTAGAGTCACAGCGGAGGCACTTGCCAAAAGCTCTGGGGCAGACGGCCGAGCCTGAGCCTGGTTGTCACTATCCCCTGATCTGGGAAGGCTGCTTCCTCCCCTCCTCATTCCCGAGAGCCTCAGGCGGTTCCTCTCCTGTGTGGCTGAGTAAAGACAGAAGGAGACACGCTGAGGCGCCCACGGGATGCTGGAGCGGAATCCTGCACAGCTATCACGCTGGCGGAATGTCTCTTATCCATTCTGCGCCAAAGTCCCCGGACTGGCAGACCTGCCTTCCCTGCCTGGCCCGAGAGCAGCACCAGCGCAGAGCCATGTGGAGTTTCGGACCTGCCTGGGAGCCCCAGGCTGACACATCGGGGGCAGCAGAGAGGATGGGGAGCAATTCATGTGGTGGTGCTTTCGGGCTTCCTAGCAATTAGACCAAGGGGCCAGTTCTGCTGACAATGTCCTCTCACCCCTACCTCACACCACGCTTCTGCAGCTGACCCAGGCTGGATGGAGGAGGCCAGGTGGACAGGCCGTGCACTGTGCCAGAGGCTGTGGGAAATGAATCAGGCAAACCGCATCACCATTTCCCTGTGAGTGACTTTGGGCAAATCCTCAACGTCCAGGAGCTCTGAGTTCTCCCTCCGGCCCCAGGGTTAAGGGCAGAAACTAGGTTGGCCGTGAGGTGGGTGTCAGATATGGGGGGCACTGGAGGTGACTGCTGCTGAGGAGCCTGCAGCCCTAGAAGGGACAGCGAGCCTTCAGGGAGTGGGAGAAGCTGCCCGCGAGGACAGAGCACCCTGGAACGTGGCCTGCCCTGGCTGCCGTGCCGTGTGCAGGTCCCAGGGGGCTCCTCTCCTTGCAAGTCTGGAATTATGCTCCCTGATTCTGGGTACTGCCTCGTTCCTCGGGGAGAAAATCTTGGGTTTCCGAACAGAAGCTAATGGCCAGATGGGTATAATCCCATCTCGGCTGTAATCCCAGGGCTGTGGGAGGCTGAGGTAGGAGCATCACAAGTTTGAGCCCAGCCTGGCAATTTGATGACTTAGTGAGACCTTGTCTCAGAATAAGAAATAAAATTTAAAGAGAGCTGGGATATCAAGGAAGAGGGGTCGGGAGGACGTTCCGAGCTGTCCGTGCCCTTGTGAGCTCCCAGACAGCTGGCTCCTAATGCTCACCACTGACTGCACAAAGGGAGGTGGGAAGGGTGACTGTCCCACCCAGCCCTGCCTGGTCCAGCTGCCGGGGCCCCTGGGAGAGGAGTCCACGTACCGAAATCTGCCACCTTGGCCTGGGGCATGAGCAGCAGAATCAGGAGCAGGAGCATGCTGGACAGGGCTGTGCTGGGCGCGATGGAGACCAGGTCAGGGCAGTGACCCCAGCCAGCCTGGCCACCTCCTTATGGCTGCGATGTCACAATGGGGTGGGGGGAGGTCAGGCACGTTCTTCCCGCTGTTTTGTTTTCAGGATGGTTCACTTGGGGCATAGTCCAGGAAGGCTTTCTGCTGAGCTGGAGTCCCCCACTTTCACCTGCTGTCCTTGGGCTCTGGCTTCTGGCCTCCATCGCTCCTGCAAGGCTCATGTTCTCCTCTTCCCTGGGCTTCTCAGTGAGGTGGGAGAGACATGGGGACATGAGGACACGCTCAGGAGAGGCCCCAGGAGCCCCAAGGCCTCTCTGATACTCACACCCAGCGTGGTCCAGAGACTCTCACCTGTGGCCCCAGGTATGAGGCTCACAGGCATTTTCAGGGGTGCTGGCCCCCCTCATCCCTGCCCAGGGGGTGCACTCCCTACTCCCTGCACGTCCTGTACTGAGTCACATGGTCTCCCAGTCCCCAGATGCACCCAGTCCCTTCCTAAGGAGGAAATGTCAGACTCAGGTGGAAATGGCCAGCATGATCACCTCACAGCTAGGTTAAGATTTGCACTTCTCCAGGTGCTGGCTCCAGTGGATTCACCAGAGCTCCCTTGCCTGCCTGAGTGGCCACCAGCTGGGTCCCAGGGAGGAGGAGGCAGAGATAATTTCCCTCACCATGGTGGCTGCATGTCCCCAGCCTCTATGCGTTCCTGGACTACTCTGCCGCAGAGGCCTCTAGTGCTGCCTGGAGGAGCCCAAGGTGAGGCTTGTAGGAGCTGAAGGCTATGAGGACTAGGCCAGGCCAAGCTCGGCCTCTTTAGGTCCCCAGGAGCCTATGACTGTGTCACAGTGACGGTGGGGGCCAATTGGTAGACTTTATGGGACATAGTGGAGCAGAACATTCTGTGGTGACACAGCCCATTAGACTGTTGGACAAAATCCACATGATTATTCTTGGGGCCACTGGAGTTCCAGAGAAAAGGTCATTTTTCTGGCCTAAGAGGTGTGTTATAGGTGACAAAAGATCCCATATGAGTTTCTGTACCTTCCAAACTGCCAACTCCCTTGCTGGGAAGAGATTTGCTTCATAAGTTACAAGTCCATATTGCCTTTGGGCCACAAGAAAAAAATGACTTTAAATCTGACCCACACAGAGGCTGTAATATTAAACCCTCACTGTTGCACAAGGTGAAGAATAGAGACTGTACTCTGATAAGCCACCTCAGCTGGGAATGAATGAACTCTGTAGGTTAACACAGGCAGCTCCTAGAATATGAGCTGAAGACACACACACCCCCCAGTTGGAGTAAATCAAGCTCCAGTGGTAATAGAACTAAGGTTGGGCATAACTCCTATATGTTTGCCAAAACCACCTCCCCCAAGAAGCTATACAAGGCATCCAAGGACACTTAAAGAAGCTTATAAAAAATAGAATCCAGATCAAATGTCAGTCTTCCCAGAACACCTCACTTTTGCTGGTATGTAAATGAGGGACTAATAAATTTAAGTCAGTGTAAGACTTACATGCTGTAAATCAGGCTACTGAAGCCATGCACAGTATAATGCCAAACCCATATACACTAATGGGACTCATCCCTGAAAGTGCTGCCTGGCTCATTTGCCTGGACTTAAAAGACACCCTTTTCTGTCTCCACCTGGTACCAATCAGTCAACCCATTTTTACATTTCAATGGGAGGACCCAGTTACTGGCATTAAAAAACAGCTCATTTAGACTAGGCTTCCCTTGGGGAGTAAAACCTGCCCTGTGATCTTTGGGGAAACATAGCCACCGATCTCAAGGTCTTTCTCATGCCAGGAACAGACTGTGCTTTATTACAATACGTAGATGATCTTTTTGCAGCTCCCTCTCATAAGGACTATTTCCAAGAGACCAGAGATGATCTTCACCTGCTCTAGAAGACCAGCTATAAGGTGTCTAAAAAGAAAACTCAAATTTTCCAACAAAAGGTCCAGTATCTGGGTTTTATAGTAACAAAAGAAGAATGTAAACTGGGCACTGAACAAAAAGAAGCTGTCTGTGCCCTCCCAGCCTGACTACCAGAAGATACCAGATAAGAGAGTTTCTGATGGTGGCAGGTTTCTGCCACATCTAGATCCCTAACTTCTCACTCATGGCTAAGTCCTTACATAAAGCTACTAAAGGAGGGAAAAGGAGCCCCTCCTCTGGGAAGTTGAATAGGAAAGGGCATTCAAACAAAAAAGCCTTAATCCAATCTCCAGTCCTGGGGCTGCCAGACATAACCCAGCCTTTCTTCCTGCATGTCTAGGGATGAATGGGAATGGCCATGGGGTCCTGATGTAGTTATAGTGTCCTGGCATTGCCCAGTGGCATACTTATCAAAACAAACTCTGTGGTCCTGGGGTGGCCTCTGTTCTTTAAAGTGCTTGCTTCCACTTCCCTCTTGACACAGGAACCTGACAAGATGATTCTGAGCCAGCAACCAACTATCCAAGTGCCACATTCAGTCATAACCTTGATAGACCAGAGAGGACACTATTGGTTATCAAACCCCAAAATGATTCAATATTAAGGACTCCTCTGTAAAAATTCCTGCATAACCTTACAGAATATCAACATTCTTAATCCAGCTACTTTGCTCTTAGTCAAGCCAGGAGTCCTTCTTCATGATTATGTAAAAATCATAGACAAAATATTCTCAAGTCAGAGAGATCTCATAGATTGTCCTCTTGAAGAATCAAAAGTTCCTGGGAGGAGCCTAGTGGACAAGCTATGTGGTGATGATGCCACTGGATTCTGTGATAGAGGCCCAACCTCTGCCCACCAAAACCTCAACCCAAAAGACAAAAAACAGAACAAAAAGCTAACATCTGTATGGATTCCAGATATGCCTTTACAGCATTACATGTACATGGAGCTATTTTTTTTAAAGAAGACTCCTAACTGCAAAAATAATAAAGTACAGAGATACAATGTGGGCCCCAAAGAAGGTGGCTATTATACACTGAGGAAGACATCAATAGACTGAGACATTAAAAAGCTAGGAAAGGGAGGAGAGCCACACCTGCTCCTGACCCAGACGCCATCACTCAAGCGCCGGGAAGGTAGCCGCTCGGGCGCCCCTGAACCCCCATAAGCCCCCCCGCACTCTCAGTCCTCCTGACTGTGCCAGTCTTTGGATCCACTCTGCAGAGGCAGAGATGGTCATCAAGCGTATTTCTCTGAGTTCCCAACTTTGAACATCTTTAAAGAAAGGGCGTGGGAAACTTACAATAGAACGTTGTGGAGTTCAACCATTCAGGAGGATGGGGAACTCAATCTGGGCCTTGCAGCCCGAGGTCAGTCAGTGTCATGGGGTTCAGCCATCAGCTAACTGAGATAAGGGGTCTTGCATCCTCCCTCTGTCTGAGCCATCAAATGGTAAATACACTATATTGAAATTTTGTTCACTGCAGACATGTTCTGGACTGCTTCTTGATTTCAATTTAATTCAAATGATTTAAGGGTGATAGACTAGTGACTACCACCGGTGGTCAGTGTCAAAGTTGTGTTTGATCTTAATGTGTTGCTGATTGTATCAGTTGGGGTAAAGCATTGCGGTTGATTTGATGAGCTGTTTTCTCTGATGTTATGAAGATGAGAATGTCTGTGGGTCCTTAGAGACACAGAAGTTAGGGCGCAACAATATCAGGAAGATTTGGGTGATAATCCAGACAGTAAATCAAGGACAGTCCGACAACAAAAATAAAAATGAGAAAACACATAAGCAAGACACAAGGACAGACTTCCAGTTTACCAATGGCAAACAGTAGGGCAAATGAGGATGAAAAGGCCAATAGTGAACCACCAGGACACCCTGAACTCAAAGCACAGGAAGTAACAAAACAGATCAATCAGGCTCTAGAAAAATTCAAAACAGAAATAATTTCCCAGATAACCATAGAGATAGTGAGCAAAATGGAAGTTGTGATTCGAGACTCTAGAGCAGAAACTGACA